AAAACTTAAACAACAATTTTTAAAAACCTTGGTGAGCAGATCTCAGTTTCACAATCCCCAGAGTCTTTATTGCTAGGTTCCCTGGCTTGATTAGACCCGTAGGGGGAGACAGTGACTCTAATCACGGTTTGCCCCCACAAATGACTCACCCTTTTGAGCAGCTGGTGAAAGGATCTCAGGACCTTATTTGAATCCTGATTCAAATAAACCCTATTGTAAACATTTTTGAGGCAGTTAGAGTGCTGAAGGAGGAACGCAGGAGGCCCAAAGTGGTAAAGAACTATAAATTTATTGTTACATCTATGAGCAGAAGGGCTGAGACCAAAATGGCATCAGCGGAGCAGAGTAGGCGGAGTGGAATATTTATGCCTCTTTGTCAAGGTCAGTCCGAGTAAGGGGTGGGACCAAGTGCAGGTGGGTTACTGGAAACCAATCGTGAGAATAACAGGAAAATCGCACGGAGGAGCAAGAGCCCCAGGCAAGGCTTAATGGACTTGTAAGAAAGTGTGCAACAGAGACCAGAGAAATGGGAATATAGGCTGGGTATTGGAGGATATACCAAAAAATACTGACTTTTTCCAAGTGGGATAATAACATTGCAGTCATGTAAAAAAAACCCCAAACTGTCCGGTTTTTTGAGATGCACATTGAAGTGTGGAAAGGTGAAAGGTGTGATATCTGGGATCTGCTTTTAAACGCTTCACAAAGGAAAAAAGTGGGGGCAAGAGTGGAGAGCCACACAAGAGTGGCAAATCCTGATAATTGTTCCATCTGGGTGATGTGAATGAAAGGCCATGCACCATTTGCTCCACTCCTGTGATTGTTTGGAATATTTCCCAATATATATGCGGAAACTGAGTATAATGGCAGCTTGAAAGCTTGGCATCTGTCCTCTTTTAGCTCTGCCTTACCAGGTTTCTCTCTCTCTCTCTCTCTCTCTCTCTCTCTCTCTCTCTCTATCTCTCTCTCTCCTCCCATGAAGCCCTGCCTCTAAGTAATTTGTCTGAGGCAGCCAAGAAATGAATCAATTTTAAAAAGGGGGGGAGGGGGACAGTGAGCTATGTTTACAGAGTCACTTCCTTTCTAAAATTTAATATCCTTGGGAGACTGCAGAACAGGAAAAAACAAACTCTTGGGGCCTGGGGTATGCAAACCCCAGGGTCACTTGCCTCTGGAATCAAGGTTCACAAAGGCAAGTTTCAGTTTTACCCCAGGTTTAGAGACAATTAGACTATTTCTCCAATCTTTTGATTATTTGCCCCAAAAAGAACAAATGAAGAGCATGGAATGGGGTCTCTGGTGGCTGAAATACACCAGCCAAGTGTAAGGTAGGCAAATCTGCGCTGGGATGAAGCCCACACCTCTGGACCTCATCTCTGCCCCTCCCCTCCCAGGGGCCTCACTGACTTTAGGCTCCAGAGGCCCAACATGAGAATCAAAGGAGACTGAGAGGCCCTGAGAAAGGACCTGAATGCCATGGCTGAGTCCTTAGGAGACAGCCACTCCTCCGTGTTTGTGTTAACCTGTCTCATTCCTGTCCCAACACACCATTTCCAGTCCTAAGTGCTCCCCTGCTTTCCCCAGCACAAGGCCTCACCTGACACCAAGCACTAGGGACTCAGTTGGTGCCACTATGAGGTTAGTATCCTACTCTGTTCTCTCCTATACTCCTTCCCATGTGATTAAAAAATAAAAATAGCCCCATCCGGTTTGGCTCAGTGGATAGAGTGTCGGCCTATGGACTGAAGGGTCCTGGGTTCGATTCTGGTCAAGGGCACATGCCCGGGTTGCGGGCTCAATCCCCAGTGGTGGGTGTGCAGGAGGCAGCCGATCGATGATTCTCATCATTGATGTTTCTCTCTCTCGCTCCCCCTCTCCCTTCCTCTCTGAAATCAATAAAGATATTTTAAAAATAATAATAAAGTAAAAATAGGGCATTTTAACCTAAAGTATAAACTTATAAATCATTGAGCTTAATATGTTATGGGTTGATTTGTTTCCCCCGCAAAGATGTTGGAGTCCTAAGCCCCAGTTCTTATGCAAGCATATTTGGAAACAGGGCCTTTGCAGATGTCATCAAGTTAAGATGGGGTCATTCTGGAGTAGATGGGCCTTAATCCAGTGATTGGCATCTTTAAGAGAAGATGGAGCCCTAGCCGGTTTGGCTCAGTGGATAGAGCGTCGGCCTGTGGACCAAAGGGTGCCAGGTTCAATTCCAGCCAAGGGCACATATCTTGGTTGCAGGCTCCTCCCCGGCCCAGGCCCTGGTCAGGGTTGATGCAGGAGGCAATCAATCAATGCATTTCTCTCCCATCAATATTTCTGTCTTTCTTTCTCTCTTCCACTCTCTCTAATCAATGGAAAAATATCCTCGGGTGAGGATTAAAAAAAAAGAGAGAGAAGATGGGAATTTGGACACTTAGAGACACACAGGCAGAGATTGGAGTGGTGAGTGCCAAGAATTGCCAGTAGCCACCAGAAGCTGGGGGAGGCAAGGAACTAGAGCCTTCAGAGTATGGCCTTGCTGACACCTTGATTTCATGCTCTAGGATCCAGGACTGTGAGAATTAATTGCTGTTTAGAAGTCACCGTTTGTGCTAATTTATTGTGGCAGCCCTAGGAACTAATACAAACGGCTCATTTAACCCTGACCACCACCCTAGGGTTAGGAAATGTTACTACCCCCATTTTCTACACAATTTTAAGTGTGTCTAGTAAGTGGAGAGCCAGGCTTTCAACCTGGATCACAGGTCATGTTCTTAACCAGAAGACCAAACTTCCCCTTTCTGGTGCTTAAAGTAACAGCCCTTTCCTAAGCTTGAAAGTTGATAGAAAAACTTGGATGGCTATAATAAATAACAGACAATAAATATCACGTGTTGAGGAAAATGTGGGGAAATTGGAAACCTCATACACTGTTGCTGGTGATGTAAAATGGTGCAGCCACTTTGGAGAACAATCTGGTAGTTTCTCCACTGGTTATAGTTAACACGTGATCCAGCAAATTACACTCCTAGACCTACAGGGGTGGGCAAAAGTAGGTCTATAGTTGCGTGCAAGAATGGGCCTTCCCCTGGCTGCCAGCACCGCATCGCTCTGGCCCAGAGCCACCTTTCTGCCTTCGCTCTGGCCGGAAGCTGCCTTTCTGCCTTCCCACGCTGCCCAGAGGCCCGGAGCGGCTGGGGCGATGCAGGACCGCCTGTGTTGTCGCCATGGCATGCACACTGCCCACAGGCCCGCCATCTTTGTTGGCTTAATTTGCATACTCACTCCTGATTGGCTGTGGGCATCATGGACAGTCAATTTACATATGTCTATTATTAGTATAGATTATATTACTAGTAGCCCTGGGCACGAATCCATGTGCCAGTAGCTCGCTCCTGCCCTCCAGTAGCTCTCTGCCCGCTGCCCCACCCTCCTGTAGCTCCCTCCCTCCACCCCCTCACTCCCCCCATAGCTTCATCTGCCCCTGCCCGTAGCTCTCCACCATGTGCTTTTAGCTCTCTGCACCACCCTCCTGCTGATCCGTGATCCAGTCATTACGCAATTGGATGCTACGCTTCACAGCGTAACCATTTGCATATTACAACTTTATTATATAGGATTTGCATTATGCAAATCTATTTTTGGCCATCCCTGTATATGCAAGGGAAATGAAAATATACATCCGTACTAACATGTGTACATGAATGTTCATAGTGGCATCATTCATAAGAACCCCAAAGTGGAAACAAAATATTAGTTCACTGATGGATAAATAACATAGGGTCTAGGCATACAATACAATAGTATTCTGCCATTAAAAAAGGATAAAGTGTTGGATATGCCACATCATAGATGAACCTTAAACACATTATGCAAAGTGAAAGAAGCCAGACACACAAGAGCCTACATATTGTATGGCTCCATTGACATGAGATATAGAGAAAAGGCAAATTTAAGACAGAAAGCAGACCAGTGGCTGCCCTGAGGTTGGGGCCCGGAACGAGGGTTAACTATGAGAGATCTTAGGGAGGGATAAATGTGTTCTAAAATTGATTTATGGTGATGAATGCAGTAAAGTTACTAAAAATCACTGAATTGTGTATTTTTAATGGGCAAACTGATAACAAGTAACATAACGCTGTTTACAAGTTTAGGTCCTAAATTTTTGGACGTGTCTAGGTCTTAAAACAGAGTGATGACACTATTTAGGTTTTCCAAGCAGTTTTCAATGATAAAGTGCTTCATTTTCTTTATCTGGACTTCAGCTGCAGAAAATGCCAGAACTCAGAGTTGAAACAGTGCTGGGACAAAATAAAAAACCTTTATTTGGACACAGAGGCCAGGAGGCCACTGTCCCCTCTTCTGCAGAGTCTCTGCCAGGTTAATGAACTAATTAAGTCATCATGACACCTTTTTTTCCTCATCCCAACATCATCTCCGGCCTGGTGACAGGGACTCCTCTTTCTGCAGAACCAGCCCCCCCGCTGGAGTTCCTCAGTCACGGCAGGTGGCCCACAGCTTCTCTGGCTTTGCAATTCCTTGCAAAGAACAGACCCAAAGAGGCACCGTGGTATAGGTGGGTGGCTGACGCGGAGACCCCCAACAGAGCTCTCTCCCTGGAAATGCTTTCAGGTTTGCAGGGTGTGCAAGCCCTTCTCCAAACTCCCCCGTGTGCTGTGTGTCTCAGTGGCTCCTCTTCGGGGAGATTCTGAAAGCTTGAGTCAGGCCCACCTATTCGCTACGTGAACTGGGTAACAAGGTGACATATCTGCCTGGCTTTCCCCATAGGACTTCATCTCAGGCCAGGTTAGAGATGAAGCAGCTCTTGGCAGAAACCAGGCAGGGCAACAGATCCCATCTTTTCCCAGTGCCCCCGGGTCAGGACTTCAGGCCCATCTTGGCCATCATCTCTTCATAGACTGTCCATGCCATGGCTGCCATCAGAGTCCTGCGGAGGGCTCGGGGGACACCGCCTTGGAAGAAGCCACGCAGCCCATAGTCCTAGGAGGGAAATGAATGTCAAAACTCTGTTAAGTAGCAATATAATTATATACCCGCCACAAGAGTGAGGTCTCTCTGTACCCCATTTTTGAGTCTGAAGACTTTTATAAATAATGTCCAAACTATGATTAGTGAGCTCAAGAAGACAATGAACTTTAAAAAAAATGTTTTTCACCCTGAAAGGAGGCTATATTTCCAGAGGATGGTCAGCCACACTGCAGTAGGGGCAGAATTTGGAGGTCGCATCCACTTGGACTCCAAAAACCCAGGCTTCAACATTTGCTGTAGAAATAGTCTCACCTTGTGCTAAGTCCCGGGGAGGCCATTCTTACCAATGAGAGTGCCAAGAAATGGAGTTGGCAACCTTTTGTAGGACAAGCACTTTGGCGTCGTTAAATTCATGACATGTCTAGTATTGTCCCTTCCTCCAAAGGAGCTTCTGTACATTTTACTATTGTATTTCTTTCATTGGGCAAGGGTTTGAGTTCTCTAAGCTGAAAATTTCCTCCTGAAATTAATATCCATGCAATTACCAAAAGTAACATTGTAATAATTTTTTTTTTTTCTTTCTTCCTTGCTCAACTTTCTTTCTAGGTTTACTCCCTCCCCGGGGGATTTATTTCTTAGCTGTACAGGTGTAGAGCTTGTGCAGTGCACAGAAGCACTAGATCCCAGTGGCAGCAGAAATCCAGACCAAGGTCTGCTCGCCCAGCCCTGGGCCCTGGCTCCAGGCGAAAGGAACAGGTGCCTTTTTGGCAATTTCTCTGCCTAGAGGGAGCTTTATAGGGAGGGGGGAGGGGGAGAGGGGTAACTCACTGTATATTCTTGATGGCTCTATATAAGAATTAAAGACAAAACACCTCTTTTTCATCCCCATAATCTAAATTGATTTGTTCATTCCTGTTGTTATCATTCCTGCCATTTTCTCATATACTGAAGAAAATATTTCAGGTAAGGGCTGGGGGGGGGGGGGGGGG